CGTTGTTCCTCCCTCCCCCACCACCAACAAATCCACGCTCACCTTACGACCCACCCCCTCCTCTCCCCCACCCCTCTCCTCCATTCTCTCATTCGCTCAGCCGCCGCCTCCGGCCACCTCAACTACGCCGGCCATCTCCTCCACCATTTCCGACCAACCTCCACAATTCCTTGGAACCTTCTCATCCAAGCCCACTCAAAATCCCCAAACTCCCGAGAATCCCTCCGGATCTTCCGCCACATGCTCGCCATCGATTCCTTCTCTCCTGACAAATACACTTACACCTTCCTTCTCACCTCCTGCACCCATGAACCCTCTCTGTCGGCCGGGGATGCCTCGTTCGCCATGGCAATGAAATCAGGCTTCGCCTTCGATCTATACGTAGCCAATTCTCTTCTGAATATGCATTCAGAATTTGGCAGAATGTATTCCGCCCAACAGGTGTTCGACGAAATGCCGCTTAAAGACATCGTCTCCTGGACCAATCTCATCAAGGGGTATGCAAAGCAAGGAAATATGGATATTGCCCGTAAACTGTTCGATGAATTGCCGCATCCGAATGAGGTCTCATGGGTTATCATGATTGCAGGTTATGTAAAGGCTGGAAACCACCATGATGCCGTAAAGCTCTTCAATTCCATGTTGCAGATCTCAAATGATCTTCCTCACGAGCCAACTATCGTCTCTGTATTATCAGCCTGCACTCATATCGGCGCTCTAACACAAGGAAGATGGATCCATGCTTATATTGAAAAAATCAGTCTGCCAATGTCCATCAACATCACAAATGCTCTCATTGACATGTACAGCAAATGCGGCATCATAGAATCAGCAAGAGAACTTTTCATCCGAGCTCCAGAGCGAGATTTGTTGACATGGTCATGCATGATCTCTGGGCTAGCACTCCATGGTCGCGGCAACGAAGCTCTAGAGCTTTTTAGTCAGATGATTGCGGATGGTGTTAAGCCAGACAACATTGCAGTCCTTCATGTTCTGAATGGATGCAGTCATTCAGGCCTGGTTGATGAAGGCTGTTCTATATTCCACAGAATGAGTCAGTCATGGGGTATTACTCCAGAGATAGAACATTATGGGTGTCTGATTGATCTCCTCGGTCGTGCTGGCGAGCTTCAGAAAGCTCTTGGGATCATCATCAAGATGCCATTAGAGCCAGACATCATCATTTGGAGATCGATTCTTGGTGCCTGTAGAAATTACAGAAATGTAGAGCTTGGGGAAAGGATTCTGGATCAGATTGTTCCATTGGAATGTAGAAAACAAGGTGGAGGGCACTTGCTTGTTTCAAACCTGTATGCAACAGCTGGAAGATGGGAGGAAATGGCGGAACTGAGGAGCAGAATAAGGGATGAGTGCGAGCTGCAGAAACCAGGTTGGAGCTGCATTGAAGTTGATGGTGAAGTGCATGAATTTGTGGCGGACGATCGCCTTCATCTTCAAATTGTTGAGATTCGACAAAAGCTGACTGAAGTATTGAGGGAGGTGGCTGAGAAGGGAGGCTACCTTACGAATACAGAAGTAGCATTGTTTGACTTGAGCAAAGAGGATAGGGAGCAGGCAGTGCACTTGCACAGCGAGAAGCTTGCTGTGTCCTTCGGTCTCATGAGTGTGGCGGCGGGGTGCTCGATTCGCATAGTGAAGAGCCTCAGGATTTGTGAAGATTGCCATTCAGCAATGAAAGCTATCTCCTTTGTTTTTGAGAGGGAAATAGTGGTGAGGGACAGATCCAGATTCCATACTTTCAAAGAAGGCAAGTGTTCCTGCTATGATTATTGGTAGCTAGGAAAAAAAAAGGGCTGAAATGGTACTTTAACTCTTTAAAGAGAAGTGTTTGATTTCATTTTGTTCATATATTTGGTTGTCCATAGTACCATTTAAAAAATTGATGAAACTTTTAAATTAGAATGTTTCATTTTTCTGTTTCAAGGAGGGGTGAGCATGTGGTCAGTTTGGATTAACCCGTTTGTAAATTTGGTTAAACCAATTACTAGCGAAATCCAAAATCCGTAAAATCAAACCAATTAAAATTTTGATAAAACCATACATGCCACACAGTTCTTGTAGATGTAAATCTAATACATTGGTGTATAAGCCTATGAATAAGAAATCGCATTTGACTTCTAAAAAGCTGGTAAAAATAGTATTTTGATTTGATGTTAAAAGATTTGAGTGTTATGCATGCAAATATTAAAATTTAAGTGCTAGGTATGTAAATTCACAAGAAATGTGTGATATTTACAAATTGTTAATGCATTGAATTAGAATTGACCTTAAACTGTAATTTCATGGTATCAATACATCAGTAAAAAACAATAAATCAATACAAAAGTACTGGATAGGATTCCAGGAAATAAATGGTAACAGCTAAATGCAAATGAAAATAAAAGCACCATAAGCAGTATCTACAAAATTACCCCATTTATTAGACATGTATTTATTCATAAAACCTCTTACAACCAATATTTTAAGGCAGTTCTTCATCATAGTAGAAATATAAAATTACTGAATACACTCAGGCTTCTTGTTTTATTATCCGGTAAACATATCTCATACTCGAATAGACAGACTCATTGTCGTACGGCAAACAACATACAAAAAGGAACGGCACGGTGTGAAACTTGACCTCTAAACAGAGAAAATTCAAGTGCTTGCTATACCATTTTCAGCTGTGTGGTTCTCACTGTTCTCAACAGGATTCGGCATTTTCACGCGGGCTCTTATTTCTTCGTTCTTCTCTCCAAACTGGCTGAAATTTCCCTTGGACTTGAAGAGTTGATTGTGATGATGCTTGCAGTAGAGCTTTCCATCGTGTGACATGTAATTGGAAGGACTGATAGTGCATCCTCCATGCGAGCATTTGAAGCATGGCCTGTGATATGAATTTCCATCAACAGCTACCTGGAAGAACATAAGAAAAATACTGATAAGAACTAGGAGGAGAATTCATGGCAGGACTTAAAAATCAGTTTTCTTTCATGCAAAAGATGTAATTTTAAAGTGTCAATTGTATGAATGAAAGAGTCTAGGAAAAATATATCACTATTTTAGCTTTTAAAGAGTAAAATACAGCTTTTCATGCATAGGTAAGGCGGGGCAGAAGTAAAAATTGAAGTTAAGGTGCTAGATATGTAAATACCTAAGAAAGTGGTATGTATGTTAATCTTCCAAGATTTTATGAAGAGGAGAGAACTGGGCGGTATCACTAGGAGGTGTAAATGAGCCGAGCTTGAGCACGCTCAAGTCCTATTTATATTCTGGTCGTGTTTGAAATGGCTCCCAAATAACTTATTTGTGTCAGGCTAGATTCAAATGATTTTGTTCGAATTAATCTCGAATTCGAGCTCGGCTCGAATTTAATTCACTCATTTCATGAGACTAAAAAATGTGATTAAGTATTTTATTATTATTAAATTTTAAAAAGATTATTTTTACAAAACCTAATCTGAAAATCAAACATAGTTCTTTTTTATTTCTAGCATTGAAGAGCTTATTTTTTACTTCTACAAGGCATTTCTCACTGCAGCATCCCCTACTTTCCGATGCGCGACACAAGATACTTGGATTATGGACCATCCCACCTCCACATGCATAGCAGCCGCTGGACCAACTCCAAGTTTTTTGTAGAATTTACATGCATACAGGTCTAATCCTACGTATTTAGATTAAAGTGGGGCAAGATTTTAAACTTATTTTAGGAGCATTTACAAACAAACCAGTCAAATCCTAGTATTTACATATTGAACACCCATCAAAGAATGCTTACAGCAGACATCAACTAAATTTTAGGGATATTTACATACATATCACCAAATCCTATGTATTTATATATCTATCACCTACTTATATTTTTTATAATTGTAGTATCCAAAAAATTTAAATAATAAAATAAAATGTTACATTTTTGAACACATAAAAAATTAATATAAAAAAGGATATAAAAAATATTCTTATTTAATTATTTCGAGCCAAAACATGCAAAAACATGAACGAATAAACTTTTTTTTGTGTTCGATTCGTTTTTAAAACAAGCTTAAAAAAAATTATTTGTGTTTGACTCGCTTGCTAAACGAACAAATCTAACACAAGCTATTTAACGAACCAACCATGAGTAGTTTATGAACAACGGGTTTTTTTTGATAGCCCTAGGTGTCAACCTGTGCAATGGTGTTTTCAGCAAATGCATTTGAAAAATTCAAGGCATATAAAATTTAAATAGTTTATCTACATAGATTTTAGTCACTAATTCCTTGTGGAGATTTATAAACAAGAGATGATGAGATGAATATTAACAATTTATTCTGTACTGAATATAATTTCAGTTGGGTGATTATTAGGTTTTTTTGTAGTTAATAATGGACTGTCCACATGGACTTAATTGATAATTGATAAAATATTATGTGCATGCAAGCACATTTTACTGACAACAAAATTGCTTGGCAATAGGTTGTAGATCTTGATAGTCATATTATCTAACATATCCATATGTAAGGCTGTTGAGCAAACAAGTACACTTGATACTCATCTGTACAAGGCTCGCTTAAATTCAATTATTTACATAATTTTACAAGTATGAGTGAAATTTTAAAAGCTTGTTATAAATGAACAAATTTGAACATTGACGCATTTGTTCATTTATGTATGCAAAACATGCTCTTTTATTGTTTAACAAGTAGCTTGCTAAGAAATGGATAACTGCTCAATTAATGAAAGCTCGGAAGCTTATTTGATGACTTTTCTATATTTTTGTATCAATTTTCATGTACATTAAACACTTGAAAAATTATAAACATTATTAGAGGAATAGGTTTGAGAAAATATCAAACAAATAGTTGGATATGTAGATTTAAATTTATTCATAATTAAACATGGCCAAACAACTTAAATTAACATAATGAATTACGACAGGTTTGATTAAATATTTTAAATCCGGTATCTTTAGTAACTAGGTTATATGTTTAAATCATTAGCTTCAAACAGATAATCTGTTAGGCTTTATGAAAGCTTGAACTAAATAAAAATATTAACAAACAGAATTGAATAAGATTTAAAAACCTGGGCGGCTGGGCCATGTTTATGATTAACTTGAGCTCAATAAAAAAATAAATGAACGAGCTTGAACAAGACAATGATTGGCTCAATTCGAATTGATTAATTTATAGCCTATCGATATATTATTTTCATTATATATATCTACAACCGTAATATTAACATGACTAAGAATACATCTAATAAAAGGTCACACTTAATTATGATTTTGCTATACATACTAAAAGATGTCAATGGCATAGTCATTCCCTTTGGTTTGCTATACATACTAAAAGATGTCAATGGCATAGTGATTCCCTTTGGAAGACAACAACAACAAAGCCTTAATCCCACTACGTGCGGTCGGCTAATCATTTTTCTCCACTGCATCCTATTTAGCGTCATATTTTCATCTAGTTCTAATAAATTAATATCATTTTTTATACAATAAGCCCAAGTATTCCTAGGTATACTCTGCCTTTCTTAACATAAATCGAATCTAAAACATCTACTCTCCTAATCAAATTATCAAATAATCGATGTTTAATGTGACCTAACCATCTAAGACGACTCTCTTTAATTTTGTCGGTAACTGGAGCTGCACCAACTCTATCACAAAGATATTCATTTCACATTTTGTCTCTAAGTGTAAAGCCATTCATCCACCTAATCATTCTCATCTCGGTAACACTTCACTTAGTATTATGCTTCTCTTTTAAAGGCCAACATTCAATGCCATAAATTATAAAACTAAGAAATATAAAAATTATAAAACTAATATCAATATTAATATGAATTATATGTCCACTTTTAATATTTGAAAGAATTCAAGGCTTTATTAGATTAGATGAATGATTTAAATAATATTTTTGCTGCCTCATAATTGATGAAAGATGCATTAGATCTGTTTGCCCTAAATTGACATATTCTTCTTAAATACTCTTAACAAAAAGTTCAAAATTATGGCAATTCTGTTATTATATGGGCCGAGAAGAATTATACACTAAATTTAAATCATAGAATATAAATATTATTTGTTTGCCATTAATTTATGCATCCAGATTTATTGATGTACTTGAGGTAAATTATAAGCAATATATGTTTATATCATAAGAAAGTAAAATAAGCCTTGGTTTAAATTATATCTTGTCTATCTTCTTGCTTCCTATACTACATTCCTTAATGTTTATAAAAATAACAAAATTTAAGGATGTCCCTCCTACTTATGAAACATGCTCCAACAGCAACATCATATAAAGATAAACCCAATCCTATCAAAGAAATTATAGCTAATGAAATCACTAATCCTCCTTTTGATGTTGACCTAAACATAGAAAAAGTTTATCATATGAAGAATTACACTTTATACAAAGCTTTCTTGGTGCCTAGGATCACACCTTATTTTGAACTCGTGCTCAAAAATGAGTATGAGCTGACATTGAATTTGATAAATCACTGCTTATTCAACAAGCCATTATTATAATTCAAGATTTGTATTTACCTCCTTTATTCCATTATTGAATTCATTTTAAGTTATCTACTATAGTTGAATAGTGGGCATAGTTAATCTTTAAGAAAATAATATAATTCATCAATACATATTTCGAATTAAATGAAAATATGACACTCAATAGGACACAATAGAGAAAATAATTCATGTAGCCGACCCCACTTAGTGAGATAAAGGCTTGTTGTTGTTGTTGTAATCCATTTTTAAAAAAAAGTTCTTTTATGGCTCTTGAGAAGGATAATTTGGAAAAATATATTTTGTATTTTCCAACAAATGAGTTTTTTAGTAGTTCCATTACTTGCGCTTCTTCCCGGATTCATTTTGAATTTATTTGTAGTCCGCTAGAAGAGAACTTATCATCCTATATGTATGCATCAAATTATATTACTACTTTTATTAATCATATATATAAGCTATATGTCAACGATAGCAATAGAGTAGGCATACAAAATGAAAGATTGAGCAGTCATGATTGTTCATTTATAATGTGAGATGCTACATCTATGTACACGTCTATCCTTACACACTACTTGAATTACACTTACTTGATAATATCAAGAGAAGCCTTGGTGTCGTATGATATTATTACAATACTAAAGTCTTAAGCATATGTACTTTGTTAACCCTTAACAAAATTACTGGTTCTATTTTCTATATTAAATATTTTGTCATCTAATCAAGGCATTTTAAAGCCTTAAACAAAAATATATATATATATATATATATATATATATATATGTTTCCACAACTATATTTTCTAATTTCTCAATAATAGCCTAATTATTAATTCTTAAATGAGTTTCTTTGATGTTACTTTAATATCAATTCATCCTCTACTCCTTTAGAAGTAATATTCACCCCGCCAAGATCCATATTGTGTTGAATGCGGGGGAATTAATATAGACATAATCACACTCATTCTAAATTATCACCAGGTTGGTGATAGTGATAATAGGAATAATATAAATTATCCATACAGCATCGACCTCTCTAGCATCTAATTTTAAACTGCATGTTGTCAATTCTTTTGCATCTGACACGGGTTCATAATTGAAGGGATTATTTTATTTTATATTTTCAAGATTTAAATATTTTATCTGCTTTATAATAATGTAGTAGTAATTTGTTATTTTTTTCATCTATAAATTAGAGAATGTTATGACATATAAGGAATTTGATGGTATGAATAAGTTTTTATCGTACATGTGGAGCTCTTCCTCATCTAGTGTGAGATCTAAAATGTTTTTAGAAATTTCATTGTTATCTAGTTAATTTTATTACTCTTCTTACATATTTTCTGCCATTCTTATCTTCTATAGATTGTTCAAGTTCTTTTTGCATAAGATGCACATTAGGAGAAACT